TGAACAGCTTCAGTAGCAGCCCTTTCTGGTAGAGCAAGCTTATGAAGGAATGTGTTATCGTCGGCCTGAACTTCCCGGGGTATAGTTCTTGGGCGAGAGAGTAGAACGGCTCGGGCGTCTTGCGGAAGAAATCGATGTCGAAGACGGCTTCAGGGTACGGCAGATTCAGGCGAGCGAGATTGGCGTACAGACCGGTTTCTGGTGATCTGAAGTCTGGTATGCCTGCGGAAGTACTTATGCCTGCACCTGTCTTCCGAATGTCAGCACGCGTCTGACCATGCTAACGCGCTGGAACTCACCATAACGACAATCTTCTTCGCACGCCCATCCTTGATGTATTGCGCAAGAGCCTCCAAGGTACGCGCCAATAAGGTCTGAGGTGGCGCATTTGGGCCTACAACCCGTGACTCGTCCTGCCCCATCCTGCCTCTTTTGCCTTTGCCCTTTCGACCTTTTTCAGCGTTGCGCCACGGCTTGTTCTGTTGCGCCTGTTGGCGGTGCGCTTTATGTTTGCGTCCTATTTTGAAGGATGTGAGTGCGCGATTATAACAAAAAAGACAAGAAGAACGTGTGACTGTGATGAATAAGGCTGTGGGACGTATGGCAGGCGCGTATCGCATGCCGTGGTGGACGCCAGTGCCCCACGGAAATTATATCTCGGGAGTCCGGCGGAGGTGCTGCGTCATGGTCATGCAACGCCAGCAACGCCTCCTCACTAGATACTCCCACCGACACCACACACCTCACGACTCACGGTGCGACGCAAATTGTTGAAACATTGCTAGTCGATATGTAATACCTCAATATATGTAAGCTACTTAAAACACGGCCCCAACTGATACAGGCACTCTTCATTGGGACAAGTCCCTGTAACCTCCTCTCCTGAGCAACTCACGTTCGCCACGACTTCCTTCCCATCAATCGCGTCTTTCACGTCCTGTAACCGGTTGTCTTGCGCGCTTTTCTCGATAGTCTCTCGAATGGCCATGCAATCTAATTTCCCCTGGTCTGTTATACCTGTGAACTTGAGCACGACCTTCATATGTGCGACTTCTTTTCTTTCTCCGTCCTTGACGCTTACTCGAACATACTCGGGCGCGTTACACCACCTCAGTATCTTCTTCCTCGCATTGAAGGAAAGACAAAATTTTGGGTTGCAGCCGGGGCAAATCGTAGACTCCTGGTCGAACTTGTAACAATTCTTCTCATCTTCGCCACTCTTCTGGAAGGTATCTGCAATCTGAGCGATGAAGGCGTTCTGTAGCGACTTTCCGTCGTACTTGATACCTCCTTCGTTTTTACCCGGGATGTAGTCACTCTCAACATTGACTTCAACGAAGTTTGTTTTCTTGTCCACGAAACCATCTTTGTCCGAGTACTCTATGTTATCAAATTTGTCCTTCTTGGTTTTGCAGGTATTAGCGCCAGTTTCATCGTCGTCGCAGCGGTTCTTGAGCGTATCGGTTAGACCTTCGGATATGTAGCGACCGTACCATTGGCCGACGTGTTGGCGGTTGTTGCTTATCTCGATCGAAAAGGTGTATGGTTGAGGACCTGAAGTTGGACTCGGGGTGGGAGAGGGTAAGGTTGCCAAGATGGTACCGGGGAAAGATGTTGATGTGCTGACTACATCAGATATAGAGATGACGGTCGAGGCGGTAGTGGAAGTACTGTCTGACCAGGCTGACGAAGAGCTGGTAAGGACAGTCAGGGAAGTTGGAGTTGGCACTTGCGTTGGAGTCGTAGACGATGAGGTCGCTGGAGCGATGCTTGATGCTGGTGGCGGGCTGTATGTTACCCAGGTTGGTGGTTTGCTCGCTGGTAAGTCAGTTCAGCATTACGCATTGGTCTTCTGAATGGCACTAACCTGCGCCCTTATTTCCTCCCGCGCTTCTAACGAGCAACGAAAAGAATGCTACGCCAGCGTAGTACTTCATCTTTGCAGTAGTCGAAGTTCGCATCATAGATCACTCAACTTCGAGGGTTGCGAAGATGCTGTGATGTGTCTTGAGAAGATATAGCGACCTGTCAGTTCAATGTCGCAACCCGTCAAGTTCGTTACGTGAAGTTGGTGGTCAGGAATGTATCGCTTGCTGCTCATCCATTCCATCATCGCGAAATCGTTGATCAATGCCTCAGCATCACGGACTTCACGCTGTAGAATCTGCATGGATGGATGGTTACGTCAATCTTCATTGGAGGGTGGAACTACCCCATTATCGAAAATGCTAGAACGAGTCTATCTGATAGACTTATTCGTATTCGAACGCCTCTGAAGCCTTCCGAGGTTATCGTCACCTAGCTCAACCTGTGGGCATGACGAAGATACGACGAAGAGATATACGCAAGTGCCCTTCCCCCCCTTGCTTAGGTACACTCGCAGAAAAAGATCCTGCTAGGATGAGATCCGAAGGGTCAGAAGGGAACGGCCCTTCCGAGATCGCCGCGCGTCGAGTCATGGACACTACGCCCCGCCACTAGCTACACCACCGACCAAACTCTTGCACAAGTACAATAGCTATAACAAAACACCGCATCCTATAACGTCGGAACGTACTACAACAATGCGGTACAGCCAATATTTCTCCAAGTTGGAAGTTCCTGTGGCCATCGTTGCTTGAATATTGGTAATGGTTATGATTTATGACCTCCGCGCCTCACCGCTAGGTACATAAGCGCCCTAAAGCTATACCGGAAAAGGACTTCCTTTCTCCATCGTGGGAACGGTCCGAAGCACTGCGAGGTGGTTCCAATAGGCTCGGAGGTTTGGCACGTCGGCTGTCCCACTGAAACCACGTACTAGTCGGCAGTTATGCTGGTCACTTCAATTCCTTTCGTTTGTGGTTGCGTTGCTCAAGGAGCATTGTATACGATTCTCGACCGACCAATTCTCTACAACACTTCATCCTACCAGCAAGTACTCACAAATCAGTTACCATGTCTCTCAAGGACAAAGTCATCGTCATCACCGGAGCTGCGTCAGGCATGGGCCTCGAAACCGCCCGCCTGTTCGCCGGCAAAGGCGCCAAACTCTCGCTCGCCGACGTACAAGAGAATCCATTGAAAGAGCTCGAGTGCGAGCTTCAGAAATCGGGTTCGCAAGTTATGACCCAGGTCGTCGACGTGAGCAAGCGTGGCGACGTCGAAAGCTGGATTGCAGCCACAGTCGAAAAGTTCGGGAAGCTGGATGGTGCAGCCAACCTCGCAGGTGTAACTGGCCGACAAGGCGCCGTTGCAGGTATTGAGGAGGTAGAAGATGACGACTGGGACTTCGTCATGGCTGTGAATGTTACTGGGTTGAGAAACTGTTTGCGCGCTCAGGTGCCGCACATGAATGAGGGTAGCTCGATTGTCAACGCGGCCAGTATCTTGGGTATCATTGGCGCACCGAAACAGTTGGCATATTGCGCGTCCAAGCATGCGGTGGTCGGCATGACAAGAAGCGCAGCGAAAGAATTGGGGCCGAAGAAGATTAGGGTCAATTGCTTCTGTCCGTAAGTCAACAAATCGAAAATTCTGTCATATATATCGACACACTGACTATCTGCAGGGGACCAGTCGATACTCCAATGTTGAGGAAGGCATATGAGATTCGAGGCGCGCCAGTCGATTACTCATTCCTTCCGCTGGGAAGGGAAGCACATCAAACGGAGATTCCGCCGCTTATTGAGTTCCTCATTTCGGATGCGTCGTCGTTTATGACTGGAACTGCTACGCCGATTGATGGTGGGTGGTATTGCTAGATTCAGAGCGAAGTATGTGGAGGCATACCCAGATATCGAAAGGAAACAGACCATGACACATGAACATGGATCTTAGCATCTAGTATTCCAGCTATAGAACTATCAGCAATATCTTCACCCTAAAACCTATGCCAGGGTCTTTCCAGCAGTCAGCTGTGGTGCGTTGGTCTTTCCGTTCCATTCCTCTCGCCGTGTCGGGCTGTGAAGGTCGACCCTATATTAGAGCTTATGTGGCCCTCAATGACAGCGTGCTTGCTGGCATCTGTGCGTTTGTTTAGCAAGGTACGGCTATCTCAAGATAAGAGTCACTTACGTCAAGAACCGAACTGCCAGGCAGCGATGCCACGAAGGCTGCCAGGTTCGCGGATGATGTCTCGTACGCCTCTTCCCATATTGTCATGTCCCTACACCGATCACTAACTATAGCATAACATGGAAAGCCGCCAATAAAGTCGGCTTTCATGCACTCTAACCTTGGCTTGAACTTGGAAGCGCACAATCTTTGAATGATCGGCGAGCAATTCCATTTCTGGAGTATGGCCTCGGGGGCGATTAAGAGAGGGAAAACTAAAGAATCGCTCTTCGTGGCACATTGCACTACGATGTCTTTCATGCAATGTAATCCGTGGTCCTCTTGAAGGAATTGGTCGAGAAGCCTGAAGATATCGCTTGTGGGAAGATAGATCTCGATAGTTTTGATAGAAGCGGGAAGTAGTTGCTGAAGCACTGCTATGTTGCCTGGAAAGTGTTCTTCGTTGCAACCGGGGAACATCTGGTGCGCTAATCTTAGATGCTGCAGCTTGGCGAAGTCTTTGAGGCTGTTGATCGGCTCAATATGTCGTAAGGAACCATAACCGGTATAACGTTGTGGTACAATGGACAAGCTCTCGAGTCCAGGAAGGCTGTCGTGTAGTTTACTGACGAATTTCGAGAGATCTCCAGGGCGCGTTCCGGATAGGAGAAAGAACTCCTCTCGATGGTGATAGAATGCGATGTTCAAGTCAGTAAGGAAGATACAACGCTCTAGGACTTCAAACATCGCGCCCTTGTTCTTACGACATGATACCCAAAGTGAGTCCATGTCATCTGGTAGAATAATAGCGACATAGCACTGCATCGTAAGTGATGTAATGTTGGGCGTGTCGATGACGTCTCCCGGACTTTTGAAGGAACAATTTCGGCTCACGAAGAGCGTCCGTAGCTGTGGGAGACATAGAAGACGGAAGGGTAAGACACTCTCTGTCCAGTGAAGCGTTGTTAGATTCGCGAAAGCTGGTACGCTTTCGGGATGCCAAATGGAAGATTCCCACTGGTGGGTACAAAGATGTGGTCCGCTAGGTACTCGCTCGTTGTGCAAGTGTGATGTGTTGATGAACATGCGCTCGACCGATGGCGACCTCAGAAGCGCAGCTTTGACAAGATCGGATTGGCCCAATCTCCCCTCGACTTTTGTCGCCGTAGTCGTGTTGATCAAAGGAATTTCGTAAAAGTCGTCCAGATCGGCATAGACTTGTAATCCACTGACCCCTACGGCAACCTGCTTTACTTTGTGCGCTAAGTCAGGACGCGACAGGATCGTTCGCAAGAAGCTCGCAATAGGGAATACGATCTTCATTTTGTTTGGCTTCTCGATCCATACCGATTTGTAGAGCACGTCCTCGACAACAGGGTGGATGGTCTTCGACACGCATGCTAGCGAAACTTGGCTGCTGGTGTTGACATAGTTGATGATAAGAAGCTTGAGCTCGTTGGGCAATGTTTCGAGGCGCGAGAGGCCTGGAGAATACATGGTGAGGAGAGTTTGCAGTCTGCCTTTTGGTGGATGAGCGCGGAGGTACACGATCAGTTGAGACGAAGGGGGTCGTTTGAAGAAGCAGCGGCTAACTAAATATTTGCACGTCGCACGCCAACTGTACCTAGGTATTGGGAGGCAACGCTGGCCGCACAACGATTGGCCCGTGCACCAGTGAGCACCCAGGCTCCAGTGCTAATGAAAGGGCTCTCGCTCGAGCAAGATAAACAAATCGGGAGTGATCCATAATGCCTAGCTACCATCAACCCTATCCGCTTCGCCACTCAAGACCAAGACACCAATCTCTGGCAACAAAACTTCGGGAATGATGCCGAACCTCGAGGGTCTACCATCCGAGCTCCTGCTTTCCGTTGCCCGTTACCTTCCCCAGTCCGATCTGTACAGTCTAGCATCGACATGCCGAAAGCTCTTGAGCACCGCAGAAGACATACTCTACGATGCACCCGTGATAGGAATGCCCTACAGCGAGGAGTATCAAAACCCCATCGCCATGAGAAATCGCGTTTTCACATTTGCTCAAACAATACTTCATCACCCTCGGTTGGCTTCGAAAGTCCGCCTGTTCTCAGTATCAGCATCTAAAGGCGGTGCTGAGTTCACGGTTCATCCCGACGCTATGAGTCTTGCTGCCGGCTATCTTCGAGAGATTGGGCTCCATAGTCCTCCGTGGGCCAATCGCGTTGGGGATTGGATGCGCCGGTTGAATGTAGGCGATGGCGTAGCGTGGACAGGTCTCATACTCGCAATCATCCCTAAATTGTGCAACCTGACGATTGAGATCCTGTCCGACTCTGGCTTTACTACCGCCTCCACGTACGATAGCTACCATCGCTACCGTCACGAACATCTGGAAGGACTCTTCGGATACCTTGATGAGGCGTGCGACCCAGCCTCTCTTCTACCACCTGATCTCACCGCTATCTTGGGCTTGCGCCGCTTAGAGACGCTGTATTATCTCGGTTACGACATAGCATCGAGCTGGGTTTCCTTACCGAAACTGCAGACCCTCAAGATAGCACACGAGGGCCGCTGTCCTGATCTTAAACGAGCACAGACCCAGAACGAAATACCATCGCCCGGTATCAATGTGCAAAACGTCGTATTGGAAGTTTCTACTTTATTGCTGAATTTTAATCCTACCATTCGGTCTGGGGCACTCGAGGACCACTTTCTTTCCTCCAGTCTATATCCCAGGTCGCGCGAAGTCAAGCTATACCTCAACAACCAGCAGTACAACCCAGACTACAGCTTTGTAGAAGATGACGAAGACCCGGATCGATACCACGAGTGTATTGATATAATTGAAACGCCGGGACAGGGCGAGGCAGACATGTTACTGAACCGGATGATCCCACTATCACGAACTCTGCCTGGGTTGCGGATTGATGTATATAAGGACCTTGATTCGAGCTTTCTGCACTACGTCAGCCCATTCTCTAGCTTCTGTGCTTTCGAAGCGCTGACCCTGCTATCTCTTCCGCAAATGCTACTCCTCGGCGCTGACTATGGTGTCCCGGGGCAGCAGCATCAATCTGTTCCTATACACCAGTTACTTCCTCGCACTCTCGAATATCTCGAAATTACGTCGCCGTATACATCGGTAGTCGACTGGCTTGAGGAGTTGCGCAGCTATAGTGAGCTTATGCCACAACTAGAGAACGTTACGTTAGTCTGCTCAGACTCTCGAGGTGATCCTTATCCGGCACTTCGGTCACACATCGAAGTCTGGGCTGAAGAAGCCGCCGCACCGGGGTTCTGTGTTCAAGTCTTCTGGAGCGACCGAGATCTGAGTCCATGGCGGCCCCAAGGAGCTTGGTCTCATGATTGCGACCCATACGTTATGCGACTTGTTCGCTATCTGGAACGACCGCATATCGGGAAGTAGATCATAGGCGCTATGGGTAGATGAGGAAAAGATAGCGGCCACAGAGCTAGGAGGACGCTCTTGGATCAAACGTTCCATTTCTTCCTCGGACTATCATACAATACTACCTCTTCACTCCACCCGTCCAGATGCGGACCTCACGCCCTGGGCTCCTTCCCACCGATCTGATCACTCTCCCTCACGAAACCCCCCTTACCCTGCCCAGGCCGAATAACCTGTCCCTGATTCTCCTGCTCAGCCGCCCACTTCTTCAGCGTATCCAGCCCCACACTCTTCAAGGCGCTCTCATGCGTCGACTCCAGCTTGACCTTTGGCACCTCACCAATCCCCTTATCCGCAGCGCTCTTCCACGACGAAGCTTCGAGGCAATATCTTTGACCTGGCCCTACACCGGCTTTTCGCAGATCGATACCGTTCGAGGAGGAGAAGTCTAGGAAGCTGTTGGTGAGGATGGCGGCGATGGGGTTGCTGCTTGTGCACATTCCGGCGTTGATGGTGGAGGGGAGGTTCGAGGGGGTTTTCGCTTCGGCGGAGTGCTTGTGGAGGGGTGCGTTGAAGACTGCGCTGTGTTAGCTAATTGATCATGATGGAAGTGTAGAGATGAGTTGACGTGCCGTTCTTTTGAGTAACGTCCATCTTTCCTTGCTGGTTCTTGCCTGACATCTTGAACGAGTATCGATTCAGGTTCGTGAGGTTTCAAGAGTTTAGTATGTGGTTGTAGAGTTGAAAGATTGCTTGATGCTGGCGGAGAGTTGGAGATTTGGTGAATGCTGGAATTGGTATGCAGTTCCTGGATGTAAGTATGAATGCGATCAGAACTGACGTCAATTAAACCCTTTTGTTCCTGCATTTCTACGCTTTACTCGCTTCGCTCAAGGCACGATCCAACAATGATGCCTCCATTACCTCCTCCGATGAATGTCTTGACGTCAGCGGCATCTAAGCGTCAGAGCGTATTTTGACTTCTTAGCATTGTTTCATTCGAAGTGTAGATGCATATGTAAAGGCAGACTTCCTTTTTGAAGCTGGGTGCCTGGGCTGATGTAGTCGCATACTGTGGTTGGAGATTCGTTCCTCAGACACTCCTTCCACACAACCCATCACTTTGCGCTAGTACCGATCAATACTAGCGTCGTCTTCTCATCCCCGACCGTGCGCATGCATACACACCTACCTTGCACTGCATTTCGAACCACCACACCACAGTGGTAGTACTGCATACGCATTTATTCACCCACCTCCCCATAGTCACACCGCTCCTCCAACCTCTGGGTCCTTGTTCCTCACTACTTCGGCCGCGCAACACAAAACTTGGCAAGCATCACACTGTTACAAGTCGGCCTCTCGCAAGTACCGACATGCCGACAGCAGCCTGTGCACTCGCCCAAACGCTCACTCACTCGCTGAACCATGGCCATCGGCCAAATGCAGAACTAGCACACAGCCTCGCACACGTGTTCAAATGCCATGGCCTCCGTCACCGAACGCGAAAGTGACGGAGACCCAAGTCAGCCAGTCCTGTTCTCTTTTCACCGAGAACAAGCCGCATGATGGCAAGTGCCACGCCGTCATTTGCCTCATGAACTTAACAGATTAGCCACGGCTAGATGAATCGATTATGAGTGGAGACGACGGCTCCATCTGAGTCGTTTGGGAAATGACGTCGACCTCGTCATTTCATCGTGCCGCGTTCTATTGCCATTTCCTCATCTCATGACGAGCGTTTGGCGAACACATAGTAGTCCGCCGGCAGTTTAGCGAAGAGGATCAATAACGGTGTGGAAAGGTACAGGGCACATGCCTGCCCGAGCACCTCAAACCCCTCAAGGGAAGGAAGAACGCATAGCCAGTTCAATGCAGCTGCAGGTCGATCGCAAACGTAGTGCATGACCTTCTTGAAAGAAGAATGCAAAAAACAAAACCTATAACGGCGGTCACGAACGACGATCTTGCGGCTTTGATGCGGATGTAGTGTATGTGCGGAAAACGCAAATGTTCGCATGGTCGCAATTGCTGAAATGTCAATTGCGGGAAGATTACTGCAAGAACTAAATTGACTTGCATGAAGTAGAAGGAAGAAACGCAGGTTGACGTCGCGGATAGCTGCATGCCAATCTAGGCCCTTAGGCACGACGATCCGGGGAAATGCGCGGGTACGATGGTGTTGGACTGCATTCGACCAACGCGTGATTGGAACGTGTTTGTATGAACTATCTGTCTATCAATGCATCCGAGCTTGCTAGGCTGATATCGGCGTCCAATCATGCCTTGTGTGCGCAAGAATCGAGCCTCAAAGCCTCTTCTTCCTCTGCCACTTCTTGTCAAGAAACGCTAATCCTCCGTGTGTCATGTACCTTGGTTCAGTGCATCGGAAGGTTGATCTGTTGTCCAGCCACGTCGACCAAGAAAGAAACCGAACAGGCCAGCAGCCTACATTAACATAGAAGTCTACAAGATAGGTAACCTAGCGTCGATGTAGGCCCTAGACCTGTTCGGCTTATTATCATAGATAGAGTGCAGCCACTGCAGCCATCTAGCCTTGCAGCCTTTGCCGAATCTCAGCGACGACGTTCCGTATGCGCGGCTCCTTGACCTTTTGCTCGGCGCGGGTGATGGCATCGCCTATCTGTAGAATGTCCCTACCAGCCTCGCAGAAGTCTGGACCTAAGCATAGCAAAGTGCCTGTAGCCACGAGCGCGCGATATACAGCCTCGGAATCGGTAGCTGTAGTGAGAATCTTGGACAGATCATCGAGCAAAGAAAGCGCACGGTCCGCGTTGTTCTCAGAGTTTAGCAGTACCGAGTAGTTGATATAGAGTGTAGTGAGCGCGATGATCAAGTTTCGGTTCGTCGATGCTAGGAAGGGCGAGACCAGTGGGTGGATGTTATCAAACTCTGTGCTGGCAAGTAATCGTCCCTTTTCTGTTTGGAGCAGATTGCTGAGACACCGTATAGCCATCATTGTGTTGTTGGGCGGTGAGGATTCCGTGAAAACCCCTGATTCGATAAGGTTTGGTAACAGACTTTGCTCAGGCGACACTAGGAAGGCGGCCGGTTCCTCGAAAGCAAGGACAAGCCGTAGCAAATCTAAGGCGGGCAGACGCTTCTCTGCCGGCCATTGTGTTGCGGCTTTGACAAGGAGCTCCACGCCTGTAATATCAATGCCCTTGCCATTTCCCTGCTCCAATGCCGTGACGGTCGCATTCAGCTGCTCCACGTCGGGCGGATTCAGCGAGATGCCCTTCTGCCCATCGGCCACAAGGGCCTCGTTGAACTCGGTAAGTTTCTTGAAAATGATCTTGTGGTTTCCTGTCGTGATGGGCAGGTAGTCCTTTTGCGGGAGTATCTTAGCGGCCGGAGGTGCGGGTGGAGGCTGGGTCGCGACTTGATTGGCGTCGCCGGGCCGATACCGTGCCTCTGAGCCCCACGGGTCCGTTCCCTGCGCACTACTCTGACCTAGCGTAGCACCCTGTGTGTTCTGAATAATGAAGTTGGCGACTTGGTCGAGGTACGTGAGCGGTAGCTCGTTGTCTTCGATGAACTTGCGCGCAGCTTCGTAGTGGTTCTGATTGAGGTTGTAGGGTAGCTTCAGGGGAGGCTTGCCATCTTCGATATCGACGTCGAAAACATAGTCGTACTCTTTGCCAGCGTGCGAGATCTTGCGTCCGCCGCTGCCCGCCGAGTCGACAACAGTGCCAACGTTTACCCACTGATTGGCGGCTGCAGACCACTGGTATGCGGACACGTTGCCGTTCATCTCCTTGATCATCTGGACCTGGCCCTCCTTGGTGCCGGAACGTTGTGTAAGGAACTCAGGGCCGGGCAATTGCTCCTTATTGATGTCTCCCACCGTTTGCTGTGGTATCGAAGAGCCCTTGACGTCGTCGTTGAATTGCTGGATCTCGGCTTCTGCAGCGTAGCGGGACTGGTCACGGGTGAAGACGCGCGCAAGCTTATCGCTCGCCCCAGTGACAATATCGCCGTTCTCGCCGCATACAGCTACTGTCCATACGGAGATAGCTGGGTGGGTGATGGTCTGGATGCACTGGTTGTTTTCCCATATGCGCACCGTCCGGTCTTCGCCGGCACTCACTAGACCGCCGTTGGGAAGAACGGCAAGGGAATAGATGAAGTTCTCGTGGCCGTGCAGCTCAGCCACCTGTTGTCCGTTGAGTGTCCATAACCGGATGACGGCGTCGTTGCCAGCGGAAGCGAACTGGGCACCTGAGGGATGATCCGGAGGCAATCGGCAGAGAGCGCGCACGACTTCAGGTGCTTGTATTGACCGGACCGGGGACGTGGAGCCTGAGGTGTGGAATATGCGGATCTGGTTGTCTGCGCAGCCGGTGATGATGGTGTTGCTGTCGTAGGCAAGGACGGCCCATACAGAGGCAGAGTGGCCCTGCAGCACTGTAGATTCGCCCCACTTGCCTACTTCCCACAGCCGTGCCTCCATGTCCCAGCTGCCGCTGACAATGTATTTGCCGTCCTCACTGACATCGAGCGCGCACACATTGTTGCCATGTCCGATCAGAAGAGCGTCGGCGTCGTCGTCAAGGTTCTTGCTGGGCCGCCGTACGTCGATGATTTGGTCCTTGCCGCCCGATACGACCAGGCCTTCGGGGAAAGAGGACGAGGGTGGAACGATAGCGAGGGAGTTGACGAACTCCTTGCCGTGTGTCTTGATGGTGCTGTCCCATATCGGTGGGCTTTGTGACTGCTGTGCCCAGACGCGTACTGTGAAGTCTCGCGACGCAGAGACAATGGAGGAGGGAGATGGGAATGCTACGCTGCGGACCTGTTGGTGATGTTAGACGTTGCTCTGCATAGTCTAGTAGTTTACCTGTAGTTATAGAGAAAGCCGCACGTACATCGTCTTCGTGGCCGCGCAGAGTGGCTGATAACTTGAAGTCGGCCATGGTTGGGCCAGGGCGGGGTTGCTGGCTGGTGGTGGTGGTTGGCTTAGCAATAGAAGGGAGAAGGAAATAAAGTCTATATCG